GTGTGGGTGTGGGTGTGGGTGTGGGTGTGGGTGTGGGTGGGTGTAGGTGTGTGGGTGTGGGTGGTGGGTGTGGGTGTGGGTGTGGGTGTGGGTGGAAGGTTGTCCCTTGTAAACCCCCACACCCACATCCCACACTCATACCCCGCACCCACACCCACACCCACACGCACATCCACGCCTACACCCACACTCACACCCACATTGACACCGACACCCACACCCACACCCGTACCCACACCTTCACTCACACCCACACCCACACCTACACCCACACCCACACCCACACACACCCCACCCACACCCACACCCACACCCCACACCCCAAGTCTCACGAAGTCTGTGAAGTCTAACGAAGTCTTTGAAAGTTTTTTGAAGTCCCATGAAGTCCCATGAAGTCATACGAAGTCTTGCGAAGTCATTTGAAGTCCTATGAAGTCTTCAGAAGTCTTTAGAAGTCTTTAGAAGTCTTGTGAAAAGATGAAGTCACAGCGGGTGAAGTCTGTTGAAGTCTGTTGAAGTCTTTTGAAGTCTTGAAGTCCGCTGTTTCCCCCTTGCCTGCGACGAATTGTGACTATGGGTGTGCGTGTATGTGAGGAGAGGATTCACGAGAGCCCAAGACTCAGGCGCATGCATCCACACCAAGAGCCACAGCCTCAGCCAGACTCACATTCACACCCACACCCACACCCATCCACACCCACGCCCACGCCCACACCCCACATTCCACACCCACATCCACACCTACACCCACCCGACACACACACCCCACACCCACACACACCCAGACCCACACCCCACCAACACTCACATGCATACCCCACACCCCACAACCACATCCACACCTACACCCACCCCACACCCATACCCCACACCCACACACACCCACACACCTCATCCACACCCACACCCACATCCACACACCCACACTCACCCCACAACCGCACACCCACATCCCACAACCGCACACCCACACCCCACAACCGCACACCCACACCTATTTTTTACAGTGTAATTGTATTTAAATATTCACGATAATTCGATGTCAAAATCAATTGTCGATAGTTGGATTTTATATAATTATAATGATTAATCGTTATTCTTAAGACGCATCTGCAATATTTTCTCACAAGTTGGACGTTTTGAAGGTTCGTTTAACACACATCGTTTAGATATTCTTGTCCAGCCAATAATTAATGTATCATCTTGTTGTTCAATATCAGCTAGCCGTATTATTTGTTGAATAACTATACCGAGTGAATAAACATCACATTTTTGTGTAATTAATGGCACATTGTCGGCTGAAAATAATTCTGGTGCCATGTAACCTGCAGTACCTAAATGTGTCAGTGGTTCTATATGTACGCCACCTAAATCAGCAATTAAAAACAACGTTTTAGGTTTGTTTACTAATATATTCTGCAGTTTAATATCCCGGTGAACTAGTTCCAATTGCGTATGAATATAATTCAAGCCTTCAACAATTTGTATGATCATTTGATCAATTGCGTCACTAGTAAATCTTTTGGAATTTTCTGTTAAATATGTGACTAAATTGCAATCTAAACATGGCATAATAATATAATATTGATCTTCTGTCTTTTTCTTAACACCATAATAACTAATAATGTTCTTATGTTTAAGTTCATGCATATAAAGTACTTCTTGTAATTTGAAATCATTTAATGGTATTAATTTAGCAGCTATCCGTGATGTCTTTTCTCCTAGCGTACCAGTAAATACACGAAAATTACTTTTGTGGTCTAATCTTTCATTTTCATTAACAGTCAAAGTTGTTGAATATTGAAGCGTAAATTCTTTGTCAAGAATGTCTAAATGAATGCGTTTAATTTCCATTGAATGTTTGTTGCAAAACAGGTCAAGAGAGTCCATTGTTTTCTTAGTTACAGAGGAACAAATATATTTCTTTGCTTTTTCTTCTATCTTTTTATGTATTTGTATCAAGTGTTTATAAAGAAGTTCGTTTAACATCTTCTTCACTTTGTTACTTAAATTATCAGAAATATTGTTCCGTACGTCATTGATTAGATTTGTTATCGAATTTATTGTATTCTCTTCGACAAATTTTTCACGTTTGACTAATCTCTGACATGTTTCTCTAGATTCTGAACAGTCTCCAAGTTTTATTTTTGTAGTAGTGAAGAGCATATTCGCTAATGATCGATACATTCCCTTTAAATAAGTTGATAAATCATACGGAGACGTATGTTGATATTTTTCAATGATATATTGATACGAATCATTTTTAAATACGTCATCAAGCACTTGTTTTAAGATTTGAATATCAGGAGGCTTCAGTTCTATTGTATTTGAAAATTTTATAAACATTTTTTCGATCATTTCTAACATTTCTGGATTCTTAACTTCTAAAATTTCGTCGAATTTTTTTATCAATTCACTTCGGATATATTGTTCGATTTTTCCGAATTTTTCACTATGTTTATACATTACCAAACATTCTTGTACAAGTTGATCGATTGACTTTTTCAGGGTTGAATACACTTCATCTAACTTATCATTCACGTCTATTTTTAATCGTTCACTAAATGTTGAAAACTGTTCATCGAAGATTGTCTCCATGCGTTTATAACGAGCTTGTTGGCGAAATATATTATCATAGTTCGAAAATTCTTTGATGGATCTTAATAACTTATTTAAATGATGATATGCTTCATCACGTACAGCATCATGAAACCATTGATTTGACTTTTTAATAAATTGCTCGCGACACTCAAGGTAGTCTTCGACACTATGTAAGTGGCTAGTACACATTGGTATCAATTGATTAGACAATTTATCGTCAGTGTTATGAAAATTAATTCCCAATTCTAACCGAATTTTGTCCTCAATCTGCTTTAAAAAAGTATACTTGCTTTCCTCTGATTGTGCATCTGGCTTATGTTTATCTATCTGACCAATAATAAAACAAATTTTTGTTATTGGTTTTCTCTTGCTTTCGTCATCCATGGTATCATTTTGTTTTAAGTATGGCTTAATAAAATCGATAGTTGTCTGTCTTAATGAGTCTTGTTGAGGTATAACGAACAGTGCTAAATCTGTGTCTTTTAAAATTATTTTTACGCGCTCGTCAATAATCATATTTTCATCAAATCCTGGTGTATCCCACAGTTCAACGTTTTTTAATTCACTAATTGGTAATTCGATCTCAACTATATCTTCACATAGTTTGCTTTTGCGAGCATCATTCTTCAATATAATAAGTTCTTTTGCTTTTTGTAAAAGTTCTCTTGTATCGTTGAAAACTGTCGTTTCTTTTTCAATGCCTGTGGAACTTGTCAGGGATAAACGTAGTCGTGAACCATAAGTAATTTTGGTTAATCGTGCTGTCGCTGCTTGATTTCCTGTTGGACAAACTTCAACTTGTAATAAAAAGTTAACGAAACTTGATTTTGATGATTTGGTGCTACCAAAAACTGCAATAATGATTTTGGCTCGTTTTTTCTTAATTTCCTTATACTCTTCCGCTAATATATTATCTAATATAGTTGGATATTCCAATCTCATTTCATCAATCAAACCAATTAGTCTCTCGTCTAAATCAGTTGCGATTTTCTTATACTTCAATGCTTGCACTGCAAACATTAATGGCTTTTCATCGAAATTGAATTTGCATAATGATTCTAATAACCGTGCCCGCTTAGTTAAGGTTTTCCATTTTTCAGAAGGAAGAACTGTCTTAAGAACTTTTCCTCCCAATATAAGTCTGCTAGAAATAGATTTAAGGAAAAGTTTCCTTTTCTCAATATCAACTGTTTCAAACAAAGTGTAATGCTTTTTACATAAGGAATCGAAGATGCTAATCAAAACATCGGTATCATTTTCCAGATCGTCATCGTTAATCGATTGTTCTTGAAGCTTGCTTAATAATTTATCAAGCCGTTTCAAGTCTGGTATTTTTGTTTCTTCTACGTCAATGATTCGCCACAGATTTGTGCTAGATTGAATAGTACCAGAAGCTGTAGAAATCGTAATAGGTGGTTGATCAAGCTGTTGGCCCACTCTATTTTTATCCACAGAATGTGTTATTAATTGTCTATCATTAGAAGTCACACAATTATCCACTGATTGTAGATGATTTTCTTCTTTTGATGTAATCTGATCTGAAGAAGATATTTTGGATTCAAAATCCTTTGAGGTTATACAACTACCGTAGACGTTTGCCTGTCTAAATCTGGATTGTTCTGGTGAAGAGGTGCCTAGTTTGACACCATTAATAATAATAGTATTAGCCATTTGTTGTTCTTCATGCTTATTTGTAAACATATTCTGATCAGTAGAAGGTGTACTTTTCTCGACCACATTGGATGTGTTGAAACTAACCATTGTTTGTTTTTCATTTTCTTCGTCTAATGTCGTTTTCTCTGTTGAAAACACGGCTCGCTGAAGATCATTGGAAGTCATAGAACTAGTCAAGGTCTGTTGTTGCACAAGTTTCTTTTCTGTGGTAGAATGGGCGCCTATTTCAATACTAACAGAAGTAATAGAGCTAGCTATTGTTGAGCGGTCATTTGATTGAAAACAACTCTTTTTTACGTGATCAGGTATGCTTCCTTGGATACTATCCAAATTGTAAAAACTAGTCGTTGGTTGTTGTTCATGTTCGTTTTTGAATGTATTTTCATCACTAGGAGATATACTTGAATGAGTAATGCTTGAAAGTATAGAACTACGAGGAACTTGTATTTCTTGAAATCTACTTTCATCAGTAGAACGCGTCTTCGGTTCGATATCATCATAAGTTGTAGAACCAGCCTTTGATGATTGGTTTGCCATAATATGATCTGTTTGCGATTTACTTAATTGAACATCGCTCAATTTTCTGGTGACATTATCGTGACTGCTTTGGAAAGCTTTCGCATTATCACCTGCTGCAGCACTGAACGAACGATCACGACTTATAATTGGAGCGCGATAACCTATACTTGATGCTTGTTTGGTTGGCTCGTGTGGTTGAGAAGCCCGTTTTGATAATTGAATACAATCCGTAACAATAGGCATATCTATAGTTGCTGTTGGTGCTTGGATCCCAACATGTTTTTCTTTTCCTTGAAAACATTCACAACATTGTTCTGGTATCCATTGACCCGGGACAAAATTAGAACAAGTAGTCATTCAAAGCTGCTTATCTACAAGTACAGAAAAAATACATTGGTTTGTAGAATTTCATCGTTATATTTTAGTTTACGATAACATAACAATAGAGATCATATGGCTCAGCATAATTTCCGAAAAAATAGCAGCAATTTTTGATTCCAAATGAATTGAAAATTTGCATTTATATTGGTTTTGTGTGCCCTATCATTCTGTAAGAATCTTGAACAATGTCTCGCGATGGTCATCTATAGTAATACCCACTACAGAAGCAAAAATAAAAAAACCTGCCGCTCACTGAACCAATTTTTCGTTTACGTATACGAGATTTTCGATAGTTATCAAAAAGAGATCTATGCAAACGAACTTTACGCATGATATGTAAGGCATTGGCACATTATGAAACTTGTATAATTAATTCAAAACTGGAATTCATTTTTCTTTTGAAGAAAATCTATAGTGTACAAAAATCGATGATTATTTGTAATGACTTATTCAAAAGAAGACTACTCGTTCTACAATGTGCTGTATCGATATAATTTGTCCATGATGTACTAGAATTAGAGTTCTATCGCGTCCAAACATTCATATTCTTTTTGATAAAACGAATACCATTCTACCTATGGAAGTGTGCTGTCATGCTCTGTTTATCATAACCACTGTAGCTAATGATGAACCAATCCAGAGTAGCTCAGGCGCAATTCGACTCGGTCGCACTTGATCCGAGTCCGAACTATTCCGTGTTGTAGACCACAGCTCGGTCCATTCATAGCTGTAAGAGAGTGGTTGGTGACCGCAGTATTTTTGCCATATCTTAACCTTTTCTCGATATTCCAAAATAAATAATTTTTTTTCCAATTTAGCATTCAGCTTTGAATTCTCTGCAAAATTATACAAATGCATTGATCAAAACATACGTCATGGTTTTTCGACACTCCATAGAGAGAAATACTCTGATACATGCAACTGCCAAACTGAGTGTTATTCAAACATTGTCTTATCTAATCTCACCCAGAGCGAGCATTACAGCGGCCAGAAATGGCCGTATACGGCCGCTTACGGTGTCGTAAACGGCCGTATACGGCGCTATACGGCGTCGTAGACGGCCGTATACGATCGTAACCGGTCATCATAATGCTCGAGCTGGGTTATCGAGGGTGCTTCATCGATTGATGGCTATATATGTGGGTCCATTTCAAGTCCTTCACTCAGAACTAAGGTATTAGGGTCCCAAAAAAACTTGCAAGGGACCTTTCCATCTTATTGTAAGGACAACATATAGGCATGTTCGGGCCGATCAAAGGGTTATCGAGGGTGCTCTATCGATTGATGGGTATATGTGTGAGTCCACTTCAAGTCCTTCACTCAGAACTACGGTATTAGGGGTCCCAAAAAAACTTGAAGAGGATCTTTCCCTCTTATTACAAGGAGAACATATTGTCATGTTCGGGCCGATCATAGGGTTACCGAGGGTGCTCTATCGATTGATGGGTATATGTGCGGGTCTATTTTAAGTCCTTTACTCAGAATTAGGGTATTAGGGGTCCCAAAAAAACTTGAAAAGGACCTTTCCCTCTTATTGTAAGGACAACATATTGCCATGTTCGGGCCGATCATAGGGTTATCGAGGGTGCTCTATCGATTGATGGATAGATGTGTGGGTTTCTTCCAGTTCCCTGATCGAGATTGACAAATCACGGTGTCGTGGACCAGTTGAAACCGACTAATCACGTGTAAGAGGCACTTTTCTCGCTTATTGTTGACACAAGTGATAGCGATGGTCGGGCATATCCTAGGGTGCTTGGAAACGGTCTATCGATCGATTGCCGTATGTGTGAGTGCTGGCGTAACTCTGCATGGATAGATCGTTTGTGATGAAATATAATAACAAATAGTGATTCTATATCGAACGAGTTACAATAAACAAGGGCGGTGCGTCGCGATATTATGCGATGAACGATACAGTCGGCATATTGTTACAGAAGTCGTACACGGTGACTGTTTATGGCAATTGTTTACATCGACCGTAAATCATCATAAAATGTCGTCTACGATCGCCGGAAACGACTAGCGTATACTGCTCCCCGACACTGTGTTTTATGACATTTAATAATACCAGCATGTACAGTAGCCGTTTTGCCACGGTAATCGTTTCCGATGATATTTTACGGTCAATGTTTACAATCGTCGTAGTATGCCGTAAAGCATCATATACGACTGTTGTAGATGATCACCAGAAACGGCTGACGCATACGATGCCTTACGTTATTTTCCGACCAGAGTATACGGTCACCGTACTGTTGCGTTAGTAGTTTACGATGAGCTTTTACGGGCACTGTCTACGATTACCGTAATATGCTGTAAATCGTCGTTTACTGGTGCCGTATATGACTAACGTAAACAGTTGCCTTTTTTCGCCGTATTTGGTTAGTGAACGGCCGTT